GTATACACATTCTGTTTATACGCGTTAACCGTAAGAGAAAGTAGGAAAAGTTCCTCCCGCTTTCCATCCTATCATATACTCCGTTTTGATATATCGAATGATGTAAGAACTGCAAGAGATATTACATATTTATACGACGACACTTTTAGCTCGAGGCTCTCGAGGCATAAAAGTTTAGAGTCTGAACGGCGTTACGGGGCAGATTGCATCGTTATTATGCGCCACAATTGCATCATTAGTCAAGCGTAAAAGCGTCTTTTAGTAGTTTGAAAATTTTTAACCAAAACTGCGGAGAGAAAGTACTCTCTTGTCTTTTTCACGAAGTATATTAGATATCCAATTCACGAAAACCTGTACCGCATAATCGCAAGGAACTCTAATTAGCGGATTCGGTTAACGAGTGTCTTAGCGAAAATCATATTCGCGAATGTAGAAAGTTACGGAATAGAACTTTCGTAGAAAACAAAACACATAATATGTTACATATGTATTATAGTTATATAAAATATATACGTGTCGTTATACGTTCGTTAGCGGTGGATAAGAGAAAGCACGGTTTTAAACGTGATGAAAATGAAAAGTCTTAGGCCGCAGTGCGCCAACGATCTGGATGAAATAAGCTCACGCAGCTTAGCGAATAGTTACCTCTTTTTGGATTATAATTCCACCTATACGTGACGAGAGAATTCAACCTTAAGGTAATTCAAAGCGACGTTTCTGTGTAAGCCTCATCATATCGTATAGGAATTATATAGATGCCCCTAAAGAAATATATATATTATATAATGTATATAATGCATATAATGTGTATAGTGTATAATATGTACATTGTGAATGTATGGCAAATTCTCTCTCCGGTACGACGTTACTGCAAGATAATGCAAACATAATAAGGGCAATTTCCGTTTCTCTCTGTTCGCTGGCTGTGCAAGTTCGTTCAGCTGTCACTCTATCCTGTTTCATCATAGATCCAACTTCCCCGTATTGCATTATGCGCACTTATGTTGCTGGCGGGCAAACTTGCTTCCATCCAATCTCCACCACGTAAGTTTTGGCCGCTGCCGCCGCCGCCGCCGCCGCCGAGATTGTTCGGTGAGTTTGAGAGTCGGTTGTCGGGGAAAACCGCCCTTGAGTTATCCGCCGACCTTCGTCGCCGGCGCACGTAGGAAAGTAGCAGACGTCTTCGTCGGTGGCGTCGCGTCGCGTTGCGTCCCATCCCATCCCGTTGCGTCTCGTCGCGTCCCGTCGCCTCGCGTCGCCTCGGTCCGAAGGGAAATCCGTCAGCCAGTCGATCCGGATTCTAATGATTGATGCTGCGCTCCGTTGGGAAGCGTCAGGCCGAGAGTGAAGTTGCCTCCATTTGCGTTCGAGAAAGAGAGAAAAGGAGAGGGTGAGGCACGTTTACGAAGGCATTTCCCGTTCTCATTGCAAATTGAAACCCATCGCGAACGAAACGCCGATCGCGATCGACGACTCGTAAAGCGTCTCGTGCGTTCGCTCGGGGGGGGAGTTTTCCCGTCGACGAGCGTGTCGTGAATGCACGTCGTAAATCATTTACCGCGCTCGCGGTATCGCCGCGAGCGACTTACGAAATTTTTATTCGCGCAAATCGAATATTCACCGCCCCTTCGCGCGGAGATTTATAGTTTGCGGAAAGTCTGCCACGTGTCGCGACGTGTCGTTTGACCTGATTTTCGCTGATATAGGTAAGAGTGCAGCTCATCTTTTGCCCTTCAGGATTACCGCCGAGTTTCGAGTGGGAGAGCGCTTAGATTTCCTTGCGAATATTAATTGAAAGCTTAACGGCGGATTAACTAATTGCGCGTCGATGCGGATGGTCGGCGGCGGAATCGTGATTGACAATTGTATCAGTCTGTCGTGATAGCTGCATTACAGACAACGGAGTACGCAATGTGAAACTGATTCTACACATAGAAAGCTCAGCACACGTAGATTTCCTCTATGTTGTCCATGGATCTCTCCTATCAACACTCGAAATTGAATTTTCGTAATAATGAAATATAGGTAAGATAATCTTCGCGTTAAAAGCGACTCAATATTTAGAAGTTGTGAAAATTTTGATCAAAATTTCGAATTATGTATTTTAGAATTAGTTTTCCTTGTTGCAATTTTCATAATTTTATTCTCATTTATTTAATTTCCCTGGCAAAAAGAGAAAAATTATGAAGTGACGATAATTTTAATAACTTTGAAGATAATTTTAATAACTTATGACTGTGTACTTAATTACGATTTTCATGCTGTGCATACAGCCAATTCTTTAAAATCAGGGCTTATTGAATTTTCAATTGATCAGTTTTAACATCGATTTTCACGAAGCATTATTTTTTTGGACTCTCGAGTTTTTTTTCCCCCGCGTCTACATCGATAACGGGAGGAAAAACTTTTGCTTATTTTATAGTAAAATCTTGGCGTAATCCGCTTTTAATTAACGCGCTCGGTGACACGTGGGAATTCTACATAAATAGCAAATCAAGCGAGAGAATATTTGAATTCGAAGATCGATCGAGAGGAGTCGAGGCCGGATTGATACGACGACCGCTGGCATTCAGAAAGAAAGGGAGATCCTCCGCATGCTTCATATCGAAGCAACTGAAATGTAAATCCTGCAGTGCACGTGCTCGATATCGCATTTATGCTCGAAGTTAACGTTGATTTTGACCCACCGGAAGGGTCAAATATCATCGATCGTTCTACCGCCATGGTCAGCGCCGCGCCGGCGAGTGCTTGGCGATTTTAACAAGCCCGCTAACGAACTTCGCGCGTTAATTGCACGGGAGGTAGCATAAATACATCAGCGTACGGTTGATTGTCTCTCTTAAGAGAATTTTTCTTTAAGCTGCTAGTGAAAGAATGCATTAAATAATTCATGCGCATTCGTGTCTATCAGTTTTATGTATCGAAATAAAGTATATTTTTTCAACACACGCGAACCTGGCGATAATAAGTTTTATGTAACATAACGCATTTCTGAAAAAGCGTTTGCAAATTGGAATGAAATGAAAAATGGTAAAATAACTTAATATGCATATATATGGATTTTTGAATCAAATAACTTTTACGAGGATATCATTATTACATACGTCGGTTGTTGGGTTTCTGTATGAAAAGGTAAAAAGTTAAAAAATATTTTCAGGTATCATTTAAATGGTCGTTTAAATAAAAATATTATTTTACATTCACTTCATGTTTCAATCAAGATTTACGCTTTTAAGTGTACAATTTAAAATAAACTACGAAGGGAAAATGGCAAAGCTGTCAAAATGGTAAACGAATAACCATCGGTTTCAATGAAAGGTTGCTTTCATTTTTGACGATATAGTGCAGATTATGTGGAAATAGAAATATTTTAATTGAAAAATATTTCTGCAAAAAGATATAATTATACTATTATGTTTTATATCTTTAAATTAATAGTGCAAACGAGAAAAAGAAGTGATTTCTTGTGAAAAGAAATCTAAAAAAAAAAAGACATTTTATAATACCAAATTTTATTTTAATAAAAAAAATGAGTTAAAAATTAGAAAGTTAATTAAAATAATATTAATTTTTGTAATTGATGCAATTAACTTTTACATATATTTTTACAGTCATTATCAAATTTAATGACGTCGAAAATAAATGAAATCGTTGAAAGTTATTCGTGCTTAAAAAAGCGTAATGATGATATTCTTCCTTGAAATGTTATTCTTTGTTTATTTTTTGTTGATTATTTATCACTTATTTTTCAATATTTATCAATTCGAAAACTTTATATGAAGCGCAGTTATTAATGTGAATTTAGCGATCAATTATTGGTTCAATTTATCCCGACAAAAAAGACGTTTCGGACGTTCGAGTTTCCGCGTCATGCACATAATGTCACCTTCATTCTTGGCGATTCGCATTGACATGAAGCAACGATCGTGTCGGTAGCGAAAGGACTAAACGGTTAACGCTATTATCGCGCACAACGAGCATCCTTCAAGCCCGTAGCGCAAAATAGCAATTGCAACGAGGTCGGAGCGAACCTTGTAAGAGCAATCAAATTACTAGTTTCCAAAGTGCAAGAACGTCGGGCGACATCTGGCTCGAACGCCGCGCCCGTTATGACCTCAGCCTTGGCCCTCGAGGCTTCGTATATTTTGATTTGGCGATTCGGTCGATGCTTTTCATTTTGGCGAAATAAGCAATGATATTCCTTCAAACGATAAAGTAATCTCGATCGGCTTCTTCGAACATCGATACTTCCCATCGATTTTCCGTCTCGAAACGTCGCTCGTTAATCACCAACACTTGTGACTCCGTCAATTTACTTAATGGATTGAAATTGTTACCTGAAGAAGTCTTCAAGAGAAAAAAAGCTTTTTTTTGTATGCAATTTACAGATTCTTTGTATTTTTTTTCGGACTCGCAAAAGCGATGAGAATTATATTTGGTTTTGATTTTATAATTACACCGCGGTATATTAAAAATTGTTATAAAGTAATTCAAGTTAAAATTTTATAATTTAATTTTACTTGTGCATTTTGTTATGAGCATTGAATTGTTCAAAAGATTAAAAGGTTAAAAGGAATTGGTTGAAAAATGTCAGAGTTTAGCTAGATCAGAGGCTAGATTTTAAATTGTTATATTAAAAAAAGTTTAATTTTTCGCAAATATTAAACATTGTCGCCAATTTATTATAGTTAAAAGCAAAATTTTGAATGTCTATTTAAAAAGCATAGACTAAAGGTTTTATTGACGACAAACTTTTTCAATTTTGACGTGTCACAGTATAGTAAATAATATTGCTTCGTATATTTCAAGGAAGACTTAACTCGCCGGAATTGCATTTTCCACAATGTGTGTGACATGTTACAGTGTAGTCACATAATCTCGTGAATCAACGTGAGTAAACATGCGAGGTGCCATATAGCTCGTAAAAATATTGAATATTGATTCTAATTTGTAAAGCAAATTAGCAGAAATAACACATAGACCGCGCTGCACATGTGGACTTTTTGAAAGGTCAGTTTTTATAGTAACCTCATTGATTGATCGTTTACATATCTCCGGATGGCAAATTAGCGTTTTTACGCAGGGCTGTTATTGACATTGAAATCAGTGCCGTTATAGATTTCTGCAAGTCCTTATTCTGCAAGCCTTGTCCCGACAGCGATTCAGTTACAAAGTTACAAAGGACTTGACGAAGGTGATAAAAATCAATTTTTCCTTTTCACTTTTAAGCATCTATCAAGGTACTATTTTTTTTTACGTAGTTTTATGATAACTTATTAAAAAAAATATGATAAAAAAATTATTACTTTTTTTAACCTCGTGATTACTACTATTTTTATTGTTCGAATGATGAGAATATTAGCTCGGCCAAGTCTTCAGGTTTCTTTTCTTCGGATTGGCCGGAAAAATCGCGTGTCCTCTGTCAGTCAGATATAAAAGCCGCAATTCCCGTATCCAAGAGTGTCACGCGAACGTCGTTCTTCGGCAGCTATCATCGTACATGTACAGAACGTCTCATTTATAGTCGGTCCTTCTCGGCACAGATCACCGTGTAAGTCGGGGCTATATACGAAAACTTGACGACCTGGCTGCATTATGTTATAGCAGCCGGTCCCACGTAGGCCTAACTTGTAACCGGCAGATCCAGCGAACGCTGCGTGATACGATAAATTACGGCCGAGATTGCCGGTTGTGCGCGAAAGTGCCAAGCCGATGTTGATAGCGGGTCGCGAATAATTGCTTTCGGGTTTATCGGCGCGGTGTAGAGACGGGCTCTCGCCTTCGGCCGTGTGTCCGGCTGTGAGCGGTTTATCGATGTACGTCCTTTCCTCTTTACGAAATTACGCGTTATCCAACTTGTCAGTGGGACGTAGGATTTAATCAGGAAGGGTCTAGAAATTAATCGTTCCTTTCGGGCGTTCCTTTCTTTTTTCTTTTTTTTGTTTTGTTTTTCAAGGCCCCTGAGCTCTCTACTATATGTATTATCCACGTAAACTGAACAGCGCGATTAAATGAGGCAGGGAATACAAATGTAGAATAAAATCGTCTGGTTTTAAAAGAAATATAAGATGGCTATTACGGCTAACGGAAGGCTCTCGAAGAAATTGAGAAGTCATTTCGATTACTCGGTATTCAGAATATTGATGAATTGCGAGGAGAGCTAAGAGACTAAGCTGAGCAAAATAAGTAGCGCAATTGAAGAGGTTGCTTGTTGCAACAATGAGCTAAACTATAATGTAACTGAACATGTGATATTAATAGAAATAAATGTATTTTTTATATCATCTCCCTATCTCTTTAATTTTAGAGTTTATTTCTCTCCGTTTTTTTATAAAATCTGGGTTAGCCCTTTGTTGCAGCAAGCCTTTCTATTTATATAAACCTGAAAGACTTGTCTAAAAAAAAAAAAACATTAATTTGTAAGAAAAATATTAATCCAACATTTAAGAAAAGGAGATTAATATTTATATCTTGTGATTAAAGGAATCGTGAATTTTCTACGAGAAAATTTTCGCAGATAGAAACCTCGTCGGCTCTCCGGAGGTTTAAATCAAGTCGTTACGCTAAAGTAGGGATCACGAACATATGTTGTTGCTCACCCGACGAGTTTTTCTCGTATTTCCTCGTAAGTAGGCTCTTCGGCTGCGTCGAGTGTAATCTAGATCGGCATCAGCGATGTGATTTCTTTCCGCGTGTAGATCCTGGTAGCTTAAACCTCCTGGTGCGCAAACAACAATTGGAGCTACGAGCACCACGACACTTAGCAAATCATTATTAAGAAGAAGAAAGGATCGCGGAAAACCGGGAAACCTACAAATAAAGAACCGACAATATTTTTGTTAAGTCGCTGACCAATGAATTTCCTGTTCAAAGCCGACGGTAAAGTGCCATGATCTATCGATTGCGGCGATGAAAAGTCTGCTTTATAAGTATTACAGTACGTCAATTTAGGTATAGGAATGTGTGTTCTTTCAAACGTCAAGTTAATAATATTTTTTGTTTTTTTTTTATTTAGGTAGTAATTTTTTTCTACGATCATTGACAAATATTACGTTATATGTATATTTGTGTAAAAGTACTATTTTCCTATTCATTGCAATATCCAATTAAGTAAGCTGATTATGTACTTATACTTCTATAGTTCAATTCGTTCTGAAGCTTAATTAAACAATAAACCATATTGATGCTTGAGTTTGCCGAGTTATTATATATACTTCGCAATGTAGGCGAGAGTCACATATTAATATTATAATTACGTTAAAATGAGATAATGTTGAATTTCACACCCATACACAATATTTATATAATAATAATTAGGTTATAACACTACCGGTACATTTATTACGTGATGTTACACATTGCGAGGCCTACAATGTATACATAGTTTACGCTGATGTAACATTTTGGAATGGCTTGTTAATTAATTTCACGATCAATACGCGAAATGCTTCAGACGAATGGGAAATCCTGGGTCTTGGCAGCAGGAGGAATATAATTTCGAATTCTTGAAGTGTCACAGATTTCACTGATGTTTTCCAGAAGTTATTATCTGTGCGTCGCTGTTCACTCAGTATTTTTCAATTGTCGAGAAATATTTCAAGAAATATTCGAATATAATTCACATTTAAATGCTCACTCATAAATGGGCAGACGTTATATTTATTCTCTATTTCCTTCACTACTGTATTTACTGCTTCTGTCTCCTCTTTTTTCCGCTGTGGTGAAGAAGCACCTCCGTTTCGACACACATTGAATCTTCTTCTAGATATATTATTCTGCACTGAGAGAAAAATATTTTGTATTTGTTACTATAATTCCATGGTAAAAAAATTATGATTAAAAGCACTATTTTTACAGTAATGTTAGTAATAATAACCTTGTATGTATAGTTTTATCAAATATGAAAAAAATTTACTATAAATTTTAATAATTTCAACTATTAATTTAGTAAAATATCAAGATATATATGATAAAATGGAATAAATATTTTTATGTAATAAATGCAACTGCAATTATAGTTAGTATAACTATTTTCTTAACAGTTGCTTACTATTTATATTGTAATAATAACTAAAAAAATAAGTAAACGAAAAAAGAATATCAATCATAATATATAACCATGATGCATTATTAAAGCAATTGCATGGTTAAATTACATTGTAATTTTATAGTTGTCCCCGAAATTCATTATAAATTACAATTCAACTGTGGTTTTTTCAATTATATTTTTCTCGGTGTATACATATATCTGATTGTGAGACATTTGAAATTTCGACATTTAAATTATCTATGTTTCGCCGACATTTAGTTACTTGTCGCGCGATCTTCAATATTCACTAGTTTGATAATTATAAAGTTTTCATTTTGTTTTAAACTTTCTTGTGTACTTTTTAGTTGCGAGAGTACGATCATTATTCTTGATAAAATTTGGTTGCACGCGTTTATTTTGCATTATGAAAAAATAAATACGGCCCGTAAGAAGGAAAAAAAAAACGGTTACGTAATCGAACGTGAGACTGGATCGTATTCGGCGCGCAGGTGATTCCATTCAGCGTACGTGGACCGAGAATAGGGTCAAACGAGGTACTAATGCACACTCAGGATTTTCTGTCGATTCGCGGGACGACTCAAAGGAGACCCTGCCGTCTCTCCTTCGGCCTCTACATTCGCGGGAGCCGTATTCCTTTATCGGAGTAACGGAGCTATTTCGATTGACGAACACGAACACTCTGAAATTACGCGAGCACAAAGTATAGGGGCAAACACTTTTCGTCGTGAAGCTTAAGCCTTCCTTCATTAAAAAAATCTCATAGCGCTGCCGACTAGCCGCTTCCACGAAAATTGTGTACATTTATTCACGGGATGCGATAGAGCGACGCTTGACCCAATTTTGATTCCTTTTTATTTGAGCGCTTTGTCAATTATGAATACCATTTTCTTCAGGTAACCTCCTTCTCTCTCTCTCTCTCTCTCTCTCTCTCTCTCGCTTTCTCGCGCGCGCTTTTCTGCGAGACGCGCTGCATGGAAGAGGAATTTCCGAGTCTTCGCTCTTCAGTTAACGCCCTGTTATCGTTATTTATTGTTCGAACTGCCGTTGGATATAAAAGCGGCTTATAAATACACGCAGGCTAATTAAAAGAGAACCAATTGGATTTTATACGGCAATGCGTTCGATTGAGTTTTACATTCCCTTGTTTCGGTTCGTTACGCTTAAATTAATCGAACGTCACGTTTGTTTGCTGATATTAACTTTTGTTATCGTTATAAAACTTGCGTTGGAAGAATCGATGATAACGTGATCGAATTGGATCAAATTTATCGTATCACGTCCGATCGAATGCATCGATTCGGGGCGTTGAGTGGGCTGATAAAAGACGGATTAAAAATAATTAATCTACTCCCATCCCATAAGTTTGCCCGACCGATATCATCTTCCGCTGACCGTTTTCCTATCCGAACTCTTTTCGGAAAATGACGGCAATAAATTTTTAAGCGGATACCGTCTCCCCTGGGATTCGGTCATTCTCTTTCACAGAGGATTCATTATCTTTCACATCCGTTTTTTTTTATTAGGAAACTAATGATCGGCTTTACAAATGGCGAATAACTCATACTTATAGGATGAATACGCTTATCTTATCTTTTCATCTAATAATGAAGAAAAAGGAGAACTATATTAATTTATCAATGAATGTATTACTCGCTGTCGATGAAATTGCAAAAATCTAAAGATAATTTCTTTTCATGTATTATATATTAGATTTCACCAAAAAAGAAATGTTTATTTTGTTTTGAGAGATTTAAAAAGATTATTGAGATTATAAGAAAAATTATAGAGTTTTTTATATGTGTGCAATTAATTTCTTGAAAGGGATTACTAATTGTAAAATTATAAAAAGGATTATCTTTATATTTTTACAGATAATTTTTCAATTAATACACATCAATTTTATATAGATAGCAATTTCTTGAATATGGCATTTCCAATATCTAAACCAGTGATCTGATCATTCCTTACGTTCGCGTCATTATATTGAGGTATATACATATATATATATATATCGCCGCTTCAAAAAGTTTAATCCATCTTCCGAAGAGTTTCTTCTCGACAAAAGCAATCAAGTTAATCGCAATAATCTCAAGTATTTTCCGGCGCATTGAACATGTATCTGTTTCAGAATAGGATTGGTTTTGCCAGTTTTTCCTGCACAACGGTACTGGTGAGGAAGAGAAACCAAGAGGGGGAGGGAGGTTTACGCGGGACTTATCGCTTCGCCGGATTTGCGATGACGTATGCGCGCCTCGCGCCGTGTAACGATCGTCGTGAATCTCGCGGAGCTCTGCAGGACTCGGGGAAACGGGATTCGTTTGATCAGCGATATCGAATTTCTCGCTGAGTATTATCCATTACAATCGGCCCGATATACATACATATGCATATACACATCACGGGGAAACACGGGGAAATGGAGGACAATGCGCAGGACGGTCCCCGTCGCCCGCCCGTTATAACTACACATCCGCTTTAAATGACACCAGCTGCGCCATAATAACGCGCGCGCGATTTTCGGCGGATGGGGATCCGGCCCGATATAATTAATCCACTCGGCACCCAGGCAGCAGGCAGTAAGAGCTGCGCCATTATATGATGTGTGTTTACGGCTGGCATACTCCCGCCGTAATAACGGCGGTATTACACATTTATCGGGACGTTGAATAACTCCGCGCTTCGCATTAGTACGTTAGCTTCGTATCAGATGATTATTAGCGACCACCAGAAGCGCCGGCTTTCATTCCGCGGATCGGAGAACGCGAACGCTTTTATCTCCCTCCTCTCCTCCTCCCCTCTCGTCCGTAAATCCTCGGAAGTAATAAATATGCAGAAACTAGCTCGTGCCGGAAACGCGCGCATTGCGCGCATTGCGTCGATACCTCGCCGTGTTGCATTCAAAAAGAGAGTGTGTATGTGTGTGACAGAGAGAGAAAAAGAGAAAGAAAGAGAGAGGGAGAGAGAGAGAGAGAAATAACGTGGCTAGCACTATAGCAGATCTATCGATCAGTACCCAATGCGCGCGGGGCACTCAACTTTTTAATGACATGTCAATCCCTGCCTGCGGGATAAGGGGGATAATGCCGTCGACTTGAGCGACAGACAATCTTAATAGAGTGGTGCTTCCCGAGCGGTGTTCTCCTTACCGTTTGAGATCTCGTAAAGGCAAGAACAGGCATTTCCGAAATGAGTAAAATTTAACTGGCAGCGTCTACTTGCGCGCGTGAGTGTAGCGCGTGATAGATAGAGGGGGATGGAGAACGCAGAACGGGGAAAAAGGAGCTTGAGAAAGCTGCGCGTTAGCAGCGCGCGTTTCCCGCCCACTGTGAGAAATATTGTTTTCATCTCGTTGGCTTTGAAGACGACGACTGTCGTCGCAGGTAGACTGCTGGATGCGAGCGTGACGTAATTATAAGAATGTTATTATAACCCAGATCGACGGGGGAAAATAATGACGCTAATTTCTCTCCGCGATTTATTAAGACGCTTCATTTTAAGAAGGAAGTCAGCTTCCTTCGGGCAATTAAGAAAATTCCACGGTTGCCGATCGTATAACGACGGCGCGGAGTAATTGCAATAATTTCGCTGAAATAGCATCAGAGAGAGAGAGAGAGAGAGAGAGAGAGAGAGAGAGAGTTTAGTTCGAAAGTTCCGCGAACTTTTAATTCCAACATATCCGTGCCTTCTTTCCGCCGAAAAGAATGCGATTCACGCGTTTGTTATGAAAAAGCTGCCGTGTAGTAATTCCTTTTTCACGTATACAGTGATACTTTTTGTCAATTAACGCCTGTTTGCGAAATTGTATTAAAATGTAAATTGCGAGAAGGTTTACTTGGGAGAAGGCAAAGCGCATGTTATATTTCTTGAAACGCCAACGTTTGTTAAATCGCCGCGTTAATCCTATACTCGAAAGGCGAAGGGATTTGCATACAATGGTGCCGAGATTGTTCATGCCGAATAATCTTTTTTTATCTGACACGCAGTTAGTCTTTCTTTACTGCTTGTTTTTTTTATTTCTTTGTAAATAAAATCTGTTAAATAGGTATATATTTATTAATATACATATATATTAATAAATAATGAGTGTAATTAAATAAAAATATAAATAAAAAATAAAAAATATATTTATTTAAAATAAAATAAAATAAAATATCTTTTTTGACGGTTGTGTAATATTTTTGAAGCTACACGCGGCGCTCATTGAAAGAACGAAACAAATACATACGTATAAATATTCAAAGGCACGCTTTTTTTGTGACCAAAATATTTTTTAGTTCTTTAGTGAAATTTTGGTACGTTATGTATGAAAAGCAGAGCCTCTCTGATGAAAAGACACTTGTGAAAATGGTAATAAAATGGCAAGAAAAAAAAGTGCAGAAACTCAAAAGCCTGCATTCGTTACGTGTTCTCTTGGAAACATTGATGAATAAAATAAATAATCAAATATGCACGGGAGATTTGATTTCGTCGAGTACAGCGCGGTGTGTTAAATAATGTAAAATGTGCCGACGTAACGCGATGTATAAATCCGATGATGCGTATTTGCGTTTTAGAGGGAATTTATCGTAAATCTATCGTAAATCCCATAACGCGTGCTATTAAACGAAATTTATTTTCTCAAAATTGACATTCGAAATTATAACTGTGCAATTTCTCTCAGTTTGTGTTGGAAAATTACGACTGTTTGCTAATCTACGCGCGTGTTTACGAATGCATCATAGGTCGATAATTTGCTGGTAAAACGAATTATCTCGCGATTATTATACCACATATTGCGATCGGCCGTTCGCGATCAACAGATTACACGCTGTCTGCCATTGATGAGTTTCAGTGCTGCGGTAAATTCTACGCGTGAAAAATATTCCGATTGTGTAATATATATCGATTATACAAGAAACCGGAACTCTGTCGATAACTATTTTCTAGTGGAGTAAATGAATCAAGAGACACCACTTCCTTTCTATGTTGCAAGATGGCGGCATATGCTTATGTTGCATTTCAGATTGCGGATTTGCATGACCGCATAAGCATATATAGCGGGAGAGATCAATCAGTCGTATTTATAAAATACAGATCATAACGATACGGCATTCCTTATTTTAGATCCGTGATTGGTTGATTTTTCCGTGAATGCGCTTTGCGGAGCTACGTAAATTGATCTGAATACACATTTCTTTTTCAATCTGATCTAAATAAAGATTTGAAGAAATGTCAAACGCTAAATGGACAAGAAGCTTTACACATTGGATGAAAAATATTTTTTATTCCTATTTTTTTCAATTATTAATTATTTTTGACTATTATTACTCAATATTATTATTATAATTATTATAAGTTTTATATTTTAAATGCATCTAATTTTATAATTAAAATAAATTTGTATGTTAAATATAATTAACTTGAGAAAGACCAGATTTTCATAGGTTTTTTTTTTGTTAGTCAGATAAAGCTGTTAATGTCGAAAAGCCTTCTGGGCTCGTGGCCTTTAGACATTTAACCGGCAAGCGAATTGTTTATTATGTATGCGGTGCATATTGAATTAACCTGTGAAAATTGTTTGCACTACTTCGCGTTATATTAAATTCGAAATTGCAATATCGTTTTCAATAGGACTTTTAAAATATTTTGTGCGCACGACAATTTAATCACGTTTTCACGGTATAAAACGGAAATGTTGGACAGAACGACCACATCGTTCGGTTCACTTGCTAATTGCATTTTTTCTTTCAATCGGCCGCTAAGAAGCTTTTAATTAATATTATTATTTCTAGTACTGATAAGTGTCATTAAAATTCTCGGGACGAAGAGATTTCTCTAATGTCTCGTGATGGAATATTAAAAGAAATATCAAAAAGAAAATTATGTTCTTCCGATACGTTATACTTATACGTATCTTTTCCAGAAAAATTTCGCAAATATTGATTTTATAACTTCATGATGGAAGTATTAAAAGAACTGAAAAGAAAAATTACATATATTCGATCCATTATATGTGTATAATACTTACATATTCTTTCGGAGAAAGTTTCACAAATGGATTTTTCTTTCTCGTGACGATCCCGTGCTCGCCATTCTTCTCCATAAAAGATCGATTACAAATCCATCAGGGAATATATTTTCCAATTATTACCGAATGGGTATGTGGGGCATCCCGTATACGTAATTTACTCACGAAATCACCGACACACATTGAATTATTGATGGTATCGTAATTTCACCGAACAGAGTAGTGTACATTTACACTATTGTTCAGCTGAAATCAGTGCATCATCAATCATTTGATATATGTCACACGTGTGTAGGGACATACCAATTTTGATTGATTGTCCATTTATTGTATCATATCGTCGGTATTACTTAAAGAATTCATGTGGCGCGGGTGTTTGATTTGACTGTGAGTGCCATGAGCGACGCGCGTCCTACTTCTCTTTCGCGAAATGCGTAATTGCGGCTTGTAATTTTCATTCGTAATTTTAGTGTCGTGTGTTTTCGTGCGAGTGAAATCGTGCCTGGATGGTCGCTGCAAATTTAATCTGACAGCGCTTAAACCGTCCGACGTTTCACGAAAAGTCTCAACTATACGCTCGTCTGCGTCTCGTTTATTATTTTTTTTTGTTGCGTTAACATACGCCACTCGTTACTTTACCCAACACCTGAAATTGAGCGTGACATCAATTTAATC